TGTTGAATAGAAGTGGTGATAGCGGGCATCCTTGTCTAGTTCCTGTTCTCAAGAGGAATGGTTTCAGTCTCTCTCCATTGAGGGTAATATTGACTGTTGGCTTTGCATAAATGCCTTTTATTATGTTGAGGAATGTTCTGACTTCTTTTTAAAGCAGGCAAGTGGCATAATGGAACTTACAATTTGTGAAAGTGGTAAATGCTAAAACACAAAACAAAAAGATAATGTTAAAGTTTGGGTGCGAGTCTGTCTGTGTCAGGCTGCAGGTGATCCACCCAGCCTGCACCTAGGAGGAGACGTGTCCCTTGTGCTAATTTTACTTTGAGGCGGAGGGACAGATATATTTGTGACCCCACTGTGTAGGAAGGGATCTCCCAAGGCACGTGCGGGCACAAACACTGACACATACACAAGGACTTGTGGGAAGCCACCTGCATTCGCGCCCGCTGGGCGGAGCGCCGGGACAGTTCTAGCTCTCCAAGCCCCACCTCCGCATTTCCGAGGCCCAATCAGTTAGAGGCTCAAGGGGCACGTCCCGCTGCTGGCCACGCCCCCAGCCGGAGGCGTTAGGGGCGTCTTAAAGTGCGGGCCCAGGGGCCGCGTGCCCCGTGAGGGTTCCCTGCTGGCGATTGCACCGTCGGGTTTCTTATCCTTGAGGTGCTCGCGCGCCGCTGCTGCCCTCGCGCCCCGCGCCTTGAGCCGCCTGCCAGCCCGGGGCTCCAGCGCCCTCGCACCGGCCTCATTAGCCCGGCCGCCCCGCACCTCCTCCAGGTCCTCGCCAGGAACTCTTGCCCCTCGCGCTCCCTAAGCGCCGCGGGGGCCGCCCCGGGCCATGGTGCTCTCGCAGGAGGAGTCCGCCGATGCGCGGGAGACGAGCGAGGCGCCACCACCCTACCCAGATCCCATGGAGACCGCCCCGCTGCCGGGTCCGGGAACCCCTGACGCCCCCGAGGGGGCGGCCGAGAAGGTGGAGGTGGAGCTGACGGAGCAGGCGGGCTCCGAGTCCCCTCAGCCCCCCGAGGGTGGCTGGGGCTGGGTGGTGATGCTGGCGGCCATGTGGTGCAACGGATCGGTGTTCGGCATCCAGAACTCCTGTGGGGTGCTCTTCGTGTCCATGCTGAAGACCTTCGGGTCGGATGACCAGGATAAGATGATCTTCAAGACAGGTGAGTCGCCGCGGGGCACCGGGGGTAGGCGGCGGGCCCGAGCTCATTCCGCGTGAGGTGTGTGTCGCCAGTCCGGCGTGCAGGAGGGGGTGGGCGGAAGTTCTGTGCAGTTGCGAACCGAGCCTGCGGCTCCCGGAGCCTCGGGGTGCCAGCGTGGTTGCGCCGGAGTCTCGCGGTGCCTGTCTTTTGTATTGGATCCAGATGCAGGGACCTTGTGTTTGGAAACAAGTCTCAGAATTGATTTGCCCAGGTCGTCCTCCTTTTCTCTCCGCAAAGCAGGAGCTAGGAGTACAAGGTGGCGTTTCCTCTTCATTTTTGAAAACAAATTGTCATTTTTACGGTCTCTTTGGTGACGGACGGTTGGTTTGTTATGCATTTGTCTCCGAGACTGCAAAGGGCTGTGTGTGTCGGGCCGGTGGGGGGGTGGTGGTTGGAGCGTTGGAAGAGGTTTATCTCAAGGTCACTCGGAGTTTCGAAGGGAGCCCTGCTGGAGCCACGGTTTCATGATTTTTTTTCCCACCCCACTCTGCTAAATATAGACAGCATGGAAAGCAGCCAGATCTGGGACTGGGAAGAGGAAGGTGGAAGGTTACCCCTTCGTGTTGTGTTCTTTGACATTTTTTACATATAGTAAACCAAATGAAAAAGGTGCATACTCAGCATTTTTTCTTGTAGCTCCTTATTGCATTATTGATTGATGAGGCAGAAAACAAGTCTAAACTCTGTGAAACACTTTCACATACATTACTTCACTTGATCATATGAGGCAGATACTGTCAAACCCCATTTAGGTGAGAAAAGGGAAGCTCGGTAAGATAAGGTATCTTGGTAGGTAGCAGAATGGAGGTGGACCACATCTGCCTTCAGTGAGTGATCTCCAGCTGCCAAATGAGGCGCCCTCTCTGTCATTTGGGCAACTATATATGATTGACAATCTTTTTTCAACCTTAATTTTCTAATTCCTTAAGTTTTTGGTGTGCATACAAGGAATATGCAGGATTGTAATAGCACGTTCTAAGATAGATAGCAGTTGTAGGTCTTTCAACCTTACATCAGTAGTAGTACACTATACATATCATTTTGCAACTTACTTTTCTTCTGCTGAACACTTTGAGATTTATATCTGTAGTACAAGTAGCTCACATGCTTACCATTTTCCATTGTATGCTGTTATATTTATGTATTCTCCTTTTAATGGACATTTAGATTGCTCCCAAATTTATTATGAACAGTGCTGCATTGAATATTTTTGTACATTATCTTCTTTTGCTTGTGAATAAGACGTGATATTTACTCCATAAATAGCTGTTGAAGCTGCTGTGTTTTGCAGGTCAAAAGGACATGGTACGAAAGTGTTAAAAATGTATTATTATGCCCTTACTTTTTAAGGAAGCCAGCTATTGTAAAGTTTGGTAAGAAAGGTAGATATGAGCATGCAGTAGTAAATAAAAACAGTGTTGTGTCTTTTGTACATGAATATTGGGTATCTGGGAGGGAAAAGCTCAAGAAGGAAGCGCAAGTGAAAGAATGAACATTTTAAGACTGCTTTTTGCATCAGTTAGCATATGCTTGCTAGGGAATACTCAGGAGTAATCAAGATTTTTAATGCAGTCCAAGCAACCGCTATAATTTATTTACCACTGTTTTGGCAAGCTCAGTTGTAGATCCATTGGTGTCTGTATTTTTTATCCCTCCCCCATCCCTTTTTTTTTTTTAAAGTATAATTTATTTTTTTTTTGTTGTACTGAGAATATACAGAGTAGAACATACACTGATTCAACAATTTCTGCACATACAATGTGATGACATTGATTACATTTCTCAAGTTATGTAACCATTCTCACCCACCTTTTCCTAATTGCTTCTTCATTAACATAAATTATCTAATCTTTTGAACTGCTCTCATCAGTGATCCCATCTGTTGTTGTCAGGTGCTCTGACTCACAGCCACCCTACCTACAACAATGAAACACTGCCAGGTTGGGAGCCATGCTCATAATCCTTGCTATACTTGAGCCCGTCATTGCAGCCACTATGCCAGTCTGTCTTCTTGAGGGTCTTCCCCTTTTTCACTGACCCTCCACTTTACCAAGCATGCTCTCCCTCTCCAGGGAATGGCCCCTTCTGACAACATGAGCAAAGTAGGAGAGATGAAGTCTGGCCATTCTTGCTTCCAAGGAGCATTTCAGCTTCCAGGACACATTTGTTCATTCTGGCAGTTCATGGTATCTTCATCATTCGCCAACAGCAAAATGATCCCATCAAGATAGTTCTTAAAAGAGATAGTGCTTCAGGCAGACTTTATTAACTAGTTAAACTAAGTTATTATTTGGTTTTGAGAAGACATCAGGGGATGTTTTTGGTTAAAGGTTTAAAGATAACCTCAGGCATTCCTCCTTTTATCTTCTCTTTCTCCCTCCCTTCCTCTAGTCCTTCTGTGAGAGAAGAGAGAGGGAGACAGACAGACGGAGAGACAGGAATTAGGGAGGGAGGGAGTGAGGGAGGGAAGAGAGAGAGAGAGGGAGAGAGACCATAGACTTGCCAGGGAATCACAGTTTTGCCATGACCAAGGCTCTGCCCACCTCCTAAGCTCCTATTGGTTACAATATCCCAGTACTGGGAAGCTGAAGGTGAGAGAAGGCAAAGGGATGTGGTTTGTTTCCTGAACTCCTTGAAACTTCATCTTTTAATTTTGATGAACATTGTTTCCCATTTACTCAGCTGAATTCTTGACTGCTCTGTCAGTCATACTTGTGTATGTGTGGATGTGTATCCTATAGACAGTTATACAGGCATGCCAGTTAAATATATGGCACTGTAGGTGCTTATCTGCATAACTGCCATGTATGATTGTGTTCTTGCACAAGAGTGCCCAACTCAGGAGTGAATGGGGTCTGAAAACCCAATCTGTCCTCGGGGTGACCTTTATCCAATTCCTAAAAAAGGACCCTATGCACTTTTAACAGCCCTTTATAAGATACCAGCTAAATTGAACAATAACACCAGGTAATACATTTGGGCAATCTACTTCCATAGTGATACCACCTCGGAAACCCAAGGAGGGGTTACTATGAGTTGGGTCCGACTTGATGGCACATGACAACAACAACATATTTTAAGGGTAGAGGGAGAAAATAGATTTAACTTCCACTGTGAAAAAAAGTGATGACAAGATACTCCATAAGCCAGTCATTACTAAGAACTATACACAAAGACACATACACACATGTGCAAGTTTTTCATTAAGTCCATCATCTGTCTACACAGACACTCAAGTATTTTAGGAGAATACCTGCTTTGATGTTTGTGCAGGCTTTTCCACTTTTTATTACACTGCTGAATCATCTGTGATTGAAGATACGCAGATTGCAAGCACAAGTGAAAAAAGTCTGGAATTTGTTTAAGGATTTTATTTTTCAACTTTTCTATTATTTTATTCATGATTGTAATTCTGGCATTAGAGGCAGATAATTCTATCTCCACAATTGTATTAGCTTCTTCATAGTGATTAATCAAAGATATTCAGGGTGGTGGTGTAGAATAGGAACCTAGGTTTCTAAAAGATAATTCACATTTTTTGAGTGCTTCTGTTCTGGTTACCTAGTGCCGCTCTGACAGGAATATACCACAAATGGGATGGCCTTAACAAACAGGAGTTTATTCTCTTACAGTTTGGAGGCTTTAAGTCCAAGTTCAAAGTGCCAGGCTCTAGAGGCTGGGTGAAAGCCCCTAAACCTTGGACTTCAGCTCTGCCTCTTGCTCCTGGCGCACTGAAGCTAGAGGCTTTTCTTCACTCAGACAGCTGCTCGCTGCTGAGGCTAACAGGCCCAAAGTTGACAAATAAATTGGCACAGTCCCGATGTTACCAAACTACATGGCAGGCCATTAATTCAAGTCCATCGTAAGTCCCAAGGTTGGCAGGCTGCTGAACAACGACATGGCTACATGCAGGGTCCAAGCAATCCATAAGCTAGAGACTGCCCCCAGGGCTTCTCCTTATATACAGGAAGCAGACCACATCCCAAAGGCTGCTTGTGGTAGATCCCACCATGGAGCTGATTGCCAGTCTCATCATGGGGAATAACTACCACCAGCTGCCCAGCCATTCAACCAGGCCCAGCCAAGTTCACATACAAATTTAACTACCACAGCTTCCATTGTACTAAACATTTACATGCATTCTTCTTTACATCTTACTGAAAACTGCATGAGAGAGCTTTTATTAATATCTTGCTTTTCAGATGTGGAAATTTAGGCTTACAGAATTTAAGCAAGCTGAGAGACCAGTATTTATCTCATTCCAGAGGCTGGAGTTGACCATATGGCATTGGCTAAATAACTAATCCTATGTTCTTTATGTTGTTGATGAATTCAGACATTAGTAGTTGGGTGAGTACTATACTGGTGCTCTGGGCTTATAAAAGATGTCCGAAAGACTAAGTCTCTTCTAGATCTTACCTTATTGTCAATAAATAATTTTCAGTTACTGATATGTCTCATTAAATTAGATTTTTGAAGTGTAGAGAGTCTTCCATGGGGCAACAAGATAATTTCATATAGCATTCAAACAATAGTCTGGGATGTTCTTTGTCCCAGAGAGTTCTCCTTTTACACTGATCCATGGCAGTAGAAAGTTTTCAGGTAGAATGGAAGAGGAGGCTTTTGTAGGATCACTTTTCCTCTTTGGGACTGTCTGAACTCTTCTTACATAACTAATGATGAACCAGAATTTCTCAGGAAAGGACCAGAAGAAATTCACTGACACTAAGTGCAAAAAGGACATGGAGGAGACATCCTCTGACCTCCTCCAGCCTCATAAGGGGGAAACAGAGTCACCATCAGCAGCCCAAAGACTTATTCCTGTAAGGGTAGAGTCAGACATGCCACCACCTTCCAACCTTTCCACTCCTGATACCAAATTCTGTCTCAGACTTCTGGCCTCCAAACCATACTCAATTCCAAACCTGCTTCCACATTTTAGGTATCTGTTAGAGCAGCAC